CAGATTCAGAGGCCTTACCTCAGAGGGGTCACATTGGGTATTTGAACCCGCGACCCCGAGTGCCGAGTCTAGTCAACTCCTCTACCCTGACCGCTCAGCCACCGAACCAGCTTGTCGGCGGCGATGTCGCAACTCCTCTTGAGCTGCCGTTCGAGAAATCTGGTCCCGAAAAAAGGGTACCTGGAGCGGTCTCGAACCCGGGACCTGCCGCTTCCCACATCATGCTCTTAACCACTGAGCCACCGGGACGCCATGGCACCCGCCTTGCCTGCGCTGGTACTCAATCTTCTCTGGATATACCTCCCCAAGCAATTGGTCGCCGAAAAAATTGTGTATAATACCGGTCCCGAACAACGGGACCTGCCACTTTCCACAACGTGATCGTAACCGCTGAGCCACCGGGACGCCATGGCACCCGCCCTGCCTGCGCTGGTACTCAATCTTCTCTGAATATACCTCCCCAAGCAATTGGTCGCCGAAAAAATTGTGTATACTACCGGTCCCGAACCCGGGACCTGCCGCTTCCCACATCATGCTCTTAACCGCTGAGCCACCGGGACGCCATGGCACCCGTCTTGCCAGCGCTGGTACTTATTCCTCTCTGGATAGACCTCGTCAAGAAGTCGGTTGCCTCTGCCGAAAAATATGCTCATGGCACTAGCCTCGAACCCGAGACCTGCCAGTCAGGAACGCAGCACTCTAACCACGGCGCTACCAGGTTGCTATGCACGCCACTAACCTAGCGCCAAACTTCAATAGCCACCCATCTTGCTTGATGCTGGACGAATAATAACTTCGGCGATGGGGTGAGCGCTGTGCGTAGCAACCAAGTAGCGCAGTGGTTAGAGTGCTGCGTTCCTGACTGGCAGGTCTCGGGTTCGAGACTAGTACCATGACCATATTTTTCGGCAGAGGCAACCGACTTCTTGACAAGGTTTATTCGGAGAGGATTGAGTACCAGCGCTGGCAAGGCGGGTGCCATGGCGTCCCGGTGGCTCAGCGGTTAAGAGCATGATGTGGGAAGCGGCAGGTCCCGGGTTCGGGACCGTTAGTATACACATTTTTTTCGGCGACCAATTGCTCGGGGAGGTATATCCAGAGAAGATTGAGTACCAGCGCAGGCAGGGCGGGTGCCATGGCGCCCCGGTGGCTCAGTGGCTAAGAGCATGATGTGGGAAGCAGCAGGTCCCGGGTTCGGGACCGGTAGTATACACAACTTTTTCGGCGACCAATTGCTTGGGGAGGTATATCCAGAGAAGATTGAGTACCAGCGCAGGCAGGGCGGGTGCCATGGCGTCCCGGTGGCTCAGTGGTTAAGAGCATGATGTGGGAAGCGGCAGGTCCCGGGTTCGAGACCGCTCCAGGTACCCTTTTTTCGGGACCAGATTTCTCGAACGGCAGCTCAAGAGGAGTTGCGACATCGCCGCCGACAAGCTGGTTCGGTGGCTGAGCGGTCAGGGTAGAGGAGTTGACTAGACTCGGCACTCGGGGTCGCGGGTTCAAATACCCAATGTGACCCCTCTGAGGTAAGGCCTCTGAATCTGGACTCTCACTGTACCACAGAAACCGCGCGCACTTCGGGTGGGCCAGCCTAATACGAACCCACTAATCTGTCGAATTGCGCGGCAGGGAGCGTCGGATGAAGGCCCGGTTCCCATAAGAACACCGAAGCTGATCGGCGGGTCTCCTTGAGACTTTCGTATTGCCACTTTTTGCCGCCGATTTTTTCGTTTTTTTTGTTGAATATTTTTATTTAATTTTTTTATTAGGTAGGCGAACTATAGGTAGGCGAAAAATGGCATTATTTTATTGAATATTTTTATTCAATATTTTTATTAGGTAGGCGAAATATAGGTAGGCGAAATAGACAGGTAGGCGAACATTTAGGTAGGAGAAATGAACAACTCCCATGGATTCCTCGTTCGGAGAGCAATCCATTGGTGGGGTCACACGTTCGGTTAGCGTCCTGTTGAGCGGCTCTGGAGCTGAAAACGCGTCCGGGTTTTTGACCGCCTCCACCGCTCTTCTGGCCCACTGTGCGCAGCTTGACGGTGCAGCCTGGCGGCGCAGCCTGGCGCGTCGCTCGGTCGCTTCGGTCGCGGCACACAAACTTTGACTGTCAGGCCGCAGCTCGTCTGCCTTGATTAAGGGGCTGCAGTTAAGTGGCGCCGAGTAGTAACGCCGTTTACGCCCCTGCATTCAAGGTGCGCGCGTAAAGCCCGATAAGTCCGTGTAACGCCCGCAATCGTTAACGTAGATTTGGTCCAAATGGAAAAGAGGGAGGGGGTTTCTGGGTGCTGCAGCGGAGAGGTTGGCAGTCGGACGCGTTTTGGCGTCCCGGCCGGATTAGACGTCCAGCCGATCTCTGCCTGCCTGCGCGGTGAGTGACAGCCGGCGACCTCTGGCGGCGGCACTGCAAGTCACTCAGCCCCCCACCCCTCTGTACCGACCACACCGCGGAGGGAACGCCGACGACGTGAGATTCAGAATTACGGGATTGCATTTGCGCGCGAATGGCATTAGTCCGCTTCTTTTTTCACCTCTGCACTTTTTCTCCCGGCGAGGCTGGCGCGCGCTGGAGAAGCGTCGATCTGGGGGCAGCAAGGTGGATGCAAAGAGGAGCCGCACTTCGCACGTCCCTGGCGAACGTGCCCCCCCCCCCCCCCCCCCCCGGTGATACGACGCTACCCCCAGGGGAGAGGCAGGGGCAGGAACTCCCCTCCTCCACTGACATTGTTCACTCGTCGAGGGCCCGGCCTCACTCGCGCGGCCTGCCCCAGGGTACCCTTACTTTGCCCTCGTCTTCGATTATTTTTTCTCTCCTCCGATTGACGGGGTTCTGACCTACCCTCGCTCCGCGGTCGGCCGCGCCACCGCCTTGCTCGACGAACAACGCCCTCTGCGCTGTCCGCGGCGCAGCAGCGCCTTCTACAGTGTGCTGGCCGTGCTGCCGTGGCACGCGCCACGGATCACGCGCGTGCCGAACAGTGTGACACGCTGACGACACCGTGCGTTGCTGTCTCGCACAAGTGTGTGTGTGTGTGTGTGTGTGTGTAGCGTGGCCTCGCACGGATTCTGAGCCCCCCTCCCCCTCCGTGCACGCGGATGCCAGAAAGAAGGGGGCGCTGCCACGGCGGCCGTGAGGTGGTTTTATGGTGCCGACGTGTGAGGAGGAGAGAGAAAAAAAAGAGGGGGGGGGGGTAGTGTACGGTGTAGGCTGCGTAATAAATCCATCGTGTTGCACCGGGCGACGTGAAAGGGGGGCAAGCGGGCCTGTCCGACGGGGACAAGGCGGTGGGGGGGGGGGACCTCTTCTTGCTCCTTTCTTCGGCGCGATAATGTTATAAATGTAGCGCGTGTGTGCGCCTCGCTCGCGTGCGCGCCGAGGTTGCCGTTGCTTTCCGGCGCACGCAGGTGCCCCGCACGGCCGGGCCGGGCACGGCGGACCGCCACTCGCCACCGCCATCCGTCTTTTGAGCACTCCAGTCGGCCCATCCATCAAACCGGCAACCGGTCCCGCGATCCCTGTCCGGACCCCCCATCCTCCCCCCACCCCCCGATCCCTCTCTGCGCAGATTGGTTAATCCCGTCCCTATTATTGCGTAATGACCATCTCATGTGTCGTCATGAACCATTCATGAAGGACAAATAATTAGACCGCTCCACCATGGCAGCACACACACACACACACGCGCGTGCATGAACACACACTCAAACCACGCGCTCATTGTAGACGTATATAGGCTAAATACGAAGCCGGAAAAAATGTTTGTGTTCTCGTTGCACTTACTTGCTTTACAGCAAAGATATCATTTTTTTCGTATTTTCACCATATTTTTTTCACAGCTCCTGAACAATAATTGCGCCAGTATAAAACCATAATTTGCATATTTTTTTTAATTCATAATTTTTTGCGGTGTGGTACCTTGGCGGCCGTCATCTGGCACGCCTCGCCGCGTCCCTTCAGCCTCCCTTCCCTCTTTCTTCTCTCTCCTCTCTCTCTCTCTCTCTCTCTCTCTCTCTCCCTCTCTCTCTCTCTCTCTCTCTCTCTCTCCCTCTCTCTCTCTCCTCTCTCTCTCTCTCTCTCTCTCTCTCTCTCTCTCTCTCTCTCTCTCTCTCTCTCTCTCTCTCTCTCTCTCTCTCTCTCTCTCCCTCCCCCTCGCCTTTCACTCGAGTCGCCCCGCTGATTCATAATCATTATGCACTCATAACTAGCCGCGGATTGTTTTACGTCCGCAGCCTCCCCTCGCGTGTAGCGCTGTCGAAGATTGAAATTATTTTCGATGGGATCAAGTGCGGAGAGAAGCGAACGTGTGGCCCCACCGATGGATTGATCTCCGGACGAGGAATCCATTGGTGGGGTCACAGGTTCGTTTCGAGTCCTGTTTAGCGACTCTGGAGGTCAAGACGCCGTCTTGGGTTTTGGCCGTCGGCGCCGGTGTTCCGACCCAGTGTGTCTCGACAGCACTACACTGGGCTGAGCCGGGCGGCCGCCGAGGCGGTGGCAATGCGCTGAAACACGAGTGGGGCGAGAAGCGCTTATTATAGGCTGCAGAATGGCCGGGCCGTCGGCCGGAGGACTTGCCGCTTTTGTACGCGAGCAGTGCACTCAGCGCGGCTCGTGATTACCGGGCCGGGCAGCCAGGCAGTCAGGCAGCGGGGCAGCGATTCCAGAAGCTCCGTCGCGAATCTTCTTCGACGGCAGGAGTGCTTCGCGTTCCACGCTCCGCCTCCACTTGATCCCCGACTGCCATTAGTCCGCGGCCTTCATCCGGCCGGACTCGTCAGCAGCGCAAACAAGGACAACAAGTGTGACAGTGTACACACTGCTAGGGGCGGCAATTAATTTTGTGTCCGGCTGAAGGTTGTCACGCCGGCCTGCGTCCGCACCAAAAGCCGTCACGGGTACCCTGCCGGAAACGCGACGGACGCTTTCGGCGGAGAAGAGGAGGAGTCTTGAGGAAAGACACGGTAACGAGTGTTTGTTGTTGTTGTTGCAGTTAAGCCGGAGTACGTCAAGATTACGCGGGAAGGCAACGAGCTGCAGAACGCCACGCTGATTGGTCCCTTCAGCGAAGGCGACGACCTGGCGCTGACGTGCGAGTCCGGGGGCGGCAAGCCCACCCCCACCGTGGCCTGGTACAACGGCACGGCCAAGCTCGGCGGTAAGTGCACACCGAAAAAAAAACGGGGAAAAAGCGACGCGTCGGGACGGATAAGACACTGAGGGATCGGGGAGTTGAGCTGCGGTGAAGGCTGGACATGCTCTGACAGTGTCGGACAGCGAGATGATGGCCCTCAAACCATTTAGCGACAGTCCACAGTCTTCCTTCGAAAAATATTTTTGGAGGGTTTCTGAAGGTGTAGTGTCACACACGCGTGGACTAGCAATAGGCTCCTCGCGGCCCACTTGAGGCTTGAGGCGGCGGCCCACCCCTCTCGCCCCTTGTTGACGGCCGGGCGGCCGGCCTGGCGGGCGGTGGGGCTTGGGGGCCCTCGGGCCAATGAATGCCCTCTGGGGCCCTCGGGGGGCCCTCGGGGCCACTGTAAGCTGACCGACAAGCCTTCCGCCCAGTCGTTATGTGGAGGTAATAGCCCGTATTCAAACTGAGTATTTCGCCGGAAAGCGCCTTATATTCAGCCCCAGGCCCTTGAGGGCGCAGGGCGGAGCGGGGCTGCGTGGGGCTTCCCCGCCGGTAGCCCTCACGGGTCAGCCCTTACGGGGCGGCCGGCCACGGCCCTCGGCAGTCCTTGTGGTTGACCAGCTCGCCGGGCCTTTGGGCCGCCAGCGGCCGCCGGCCCTCCCCCCAGTCTCCCCGACGCCATGGTCATTCATTGTGGTGCCGCCGAGCCGGGCCGCGCCGAGCCGCGCCGAGCCGAGCCGTGTGGTCCAGAGGGCAATCTAGCAGGGCAGGCACAGCAGGCGGGCATTGAGGGAAACATCTCAACAACACGGTTTTGTGGAGCAAGAACGGCGGCGGAACGGCCGGGTCCAAAGCTGGCCGGGTCGGGTCTCTAGCCCGGCCCGCCTCGCGACCCGCAAGACAAACACCTGTAAGCCGGCAAGAAGCGCGCCGCGATTTAGCGTCACCAGCGCCGAGCAGCGCCAAGCACCGCCATGAAAAATGCGGCATTAGGACGGCCAGTTTTTGGGCCCAAGCAAGAACGGCGTCCTGAATTCGAGGGGCAAGGGGAGTTCCCAGCTGCCCCACTACGCAGGCTCCACGCTCGCGAGCTGGCCCGGTCCAGTCCGATCCGGCCTTCAACTTCCAAAACACAGTTCCCAACCACTCCGCCGAGTGTTCGGCTGCTTCGACACGCGTGCCGCGGGCCGTGGATAGCCGATGATGGAAATCCTGTCCATTTTTGTTGTTATTGTTGTTGTTTTTTGCCGCGCGGCCAACAAGGGCGTCCTTAGTGCGACTTTGGCAACTGACCTCGCCATCGTCTCACCCACCGATAGAGGGAGAGGGTGGGGGAGAGAGTGGGAAGGGGACGTGTGGCGGTCTGGCCGCGAGTGGTACATGCCTTGGCCTCGCATTAAAACGTGAGAACTGTGGTCATAAAGCGAAAAGCTGGTCTTCGCCCCGCCGCGCCCCGCGTGACGCTCCTCCCGCCCCACTTTGAGTTGAAACTCGGCCCTAAAACTCTGGAAAAGTGCCGTAACTCTGCACGCGAACCAACACCGCGCGCCCCGGCCGGCCTGCCAGGCGCCCAAGTCACCGCGAGAAATTGACCAGACAAGGAGCAGGGCCTGGAACCGCGAGTGAAGCCCCTGGCACCACCACACCCTCCAAAAAAGATCAAGGAGATTAAAACTTAACGGAAGTAAAGGGCCCTCACTTTTGCAAGCAGCAGAAAGGCACCCCCATTTTCACAGACAGTAGTATAGGACCTCCATTCTCATAGACAGTAGGAAGGGGCCCCATTTTCACAGACAGTTGTAAGGGCCTCTCATTCTGACAGACAGTAGTAAGGGACCCCCATTCTCACAGACAGTAGTAAGGGACCCCCATTCTCACAGACAGCAGTAAAGGGACCCCAATTCTTACAGACAGTAGTAAGGGACCCCCTTGTTCGTTTAAGCGTTCACGATTGATGTTCCTTGTTGACAGGTGACTACACGACGGAGCCGGGTTCCAACGGTGCGGGCACTGGGCGCAACTCCGTGCGTCTGGCGCTGACACGCGGCGACCTGGGCGCCAAGTACGAGTGCAGGGCCACCAACGACGCCCTGGAGCTGCCCATGATAGCCTCTGTCGAGGTGGACGTCAACGGTGAGTCCGTCTCCGATTTCCACCTTGTTTCAGCAAAAATAGTGGAAAGGCGATCTCCGCAGGGGGAAAGAAGTAACTAGAGTCACCGGCTCTCGAGCAGGTTGTCAACCTTGGGGCGTTTCTGGATGGGACTCAATTCGATCTCTTGGACACACAGCGGTGAAAATCTAACCATTTGACTTCGATTCTTAAGCCTGTTCAGCCAATTTGGAAATACTTTTGTGAGAGTTGGCCATGCATCTTGGCGGTCTGTTCTTCTCCCTCTTTCGTTTTCCCTTATTTTTCGCGGTTGATTCCTTCGGAATGGACCGGCTGGCAGCTCGTCCTCAGGGAGACGGAGAGAGGCTCCCCGATTTGTTTGTCGCGCGGAATATGACTTATTATGCAGCAGGCCTCCACGGAGGCGTCCGGGAGGAGCGAATTGGAAAGGCGGCAGGCACGCTCACCTGCTTTGTTGTCCACTGTTTCCTGTTTTATTCGCAATTTATTCTCGGGCTGGCTGTCCCCCTCGCACCTGAGCGGGACACTCCGCGAGTGGGGGACAGACGGCACGGGCGTAATGGAGACGTCCCATAACGCGGCGCATCCCGGTAATCCAATCCAGTCGCGGACCGATTCGGCGCCAAGACGTCGGATATGAATGGAAATCATCCCGCAGCTTATTATATCTCGGGAAGCTGTGTACATTTTCCCCCCTGAGAGGTGGGTGAAAGAGAGCACAACACGGCGTGCTTCTCTGCGGCTGGCGAGTCCTTCTTTTTTGCGCCGGAAGTAGTGCTGTGTACAGTCACGCATTTATACTTGACATGGTGTAGTCTAATTCGCCACTCTGCCGAGGACCGCGCTGCGGTCGAGTGGGCCGTGCTTGCCGTGCTGCCGTGCTCCCTGGTGACGGACGGCCCGGCTAATGATGCTAGACCAAGACCATCTGCAGATGGCTGTGGAGACGCCCGGTCCACTCGCCGAGCCAGCCGCAGGGCCCAGCCCAGCCCAACCGTCTCCGGCTGACTTATTGGCACCCACGTTTTTTTTCATCCTTCGCTCCTCTTTTTTCCCTTTGGCCCTTTTGTTAGATTGTCCCCGGGCGACCTTTACCCCCGAGGAATCTGATAATAATTCATCCCCCGACACCTGGACCGGGTCCAGCGCGGCGGCGTGCCGTGGCGTGCCCGATCCGAGTCCCAGATCCCCTCCGGGTGCCCTGCGGGTCTGCGGCCCCGCGGCCCGGCGGCGGGCTGGCCCCCGGGGCCCTCCACTGTTGGACCTGTCTTCGGGAGGTCATCTCGTCGTCCCGGTTCCCGGTGTGTGTCCACTTTAATCAGTGTAGGCGAGTAAATCTCCGGCGAGTCGAGGAACAGACTGACGCTTTGTGGCGTGTGTGTCCCCGACAAGGTTTAATTAGGATCGGATCGAAGTCCTCTCTTTCGGGCGCCATCTGGCGGGTCCACTGGCTCGGGGAGCTCGGGGGAGGCGGGCGTGTCAGCCAGGTCTGTTCGTCCGGACCTGGATTGGCTGGCCTGGATTACCCTAGTCGACGTGAGGCCGGTCGCGCCGAAGTACCTCGTCCAGGTGGGCGTGTCACCGAGTCTCGCAGAGTGAAGCCCGCTGGAGCCCCGGACCACCACTTGTTCATTGCTTCGGACCGAGGCTTTGGTGTGGCTGGCGTTTGTCCCACAGTGCCCCAGCGACGACGGGGACCGCGACCGTCGCCTGTCGCCTGTCTCACTTTGCGTCATCGACCAACCCGCCGACAGTGGGAAACAGTCCGAATTTCGCTGCAAAACAAACGGCTCCGAAAGCCGACAAAATCTCTCAAAATGGCGATTGATTCGGTTGCTACGGTGTTACGTGATTAGTGGACCGCCAGGTTCGCACCGGTGCAGCGTGACGGGGCAGTGCGGCCTGACAGCGGTGCTGACCGCGCGGCGCGGAGCGTTGGAAGGCAATATGCAGAATGATGTTGCTTTTCATGCTGAAACGGACAAGCAAGCCGTGCCACTGATTATTGCTCTGCTCGGCCAACCAATGGCGGGGCGGGGCGTTCCCTACTCTCCGTTTCATGGCTTTGTTTCCGCCCGCTGTTCCGTCCGCTGTTCTTTTTATTCGAAACACAAAATAACATTTGCTGACTATGAACGATTGCCCCCGGCACCCTGGCAGTTCGGCGCCGCGCCCTTTTCCCCCTTTTTTCCTGCCTCTGTTTTGTTTCTCGTTATGAGTGAAATCCATATCGCTGCGTTGCTACGCCACTTTGCTCCGACCGCTTCCGACACTCCACTGTGGAAAGGGCTCACCCGAAAAATAGTCCCCTGAAACTGAAACTGCTTCTGCAAAGCGCATCGGTTTCGGGGAACTCATTTTGCCCTGACGTGTTTGCGTCTGTCAAAGCAGTGTAGCGCCGGTCGCGTTACGGGACGGCACACTGCCATACCGCTGCTGATTAGCTCGTGCTTTGTCGGGGAGCATGGCAGTATGTCGCGCTCGCCCGTTTTGTGTTGATGCTGCTCTCTGCCAAAGCACGCGCACGCACATACACGAACACACACACGAACATACACACACAAACGAACGTACTTCCGACACACGGTATAATCCCTTCTTTTCTCTCCTCTCGTTTTTACCTCGACGTGTTTTGATGCTGTAGTTTCACTGGCGACTAAATAGCGAATGATAGTTTGTTTTCGCCACCGCCGTCTAAAGCCTCCGCCCTTTTCACAAACCACAGTGTCTGCAAAGTGACGGGGAAGCCAACTTTTTGAAGAGACTGAACACCTCGAGTGTGAATACGGGTTGGCAACGGAGCATGCCATTTTAAAAACTACAACTTCAAGTGCCAACAGCTCCCACAACGAACAAAGTCCAATATTTTTAAGAGGAATCACTCTCTGTTATTCGTCCTATGTCCCGTGGCAGTTTCAAGTCTCCATAGCTTCTAATTGAACCCTCCTGGCTTGTCGCGAGAAAAAAAGACAAAAAGGTTGGAAAACAATGCTCGCCGTTCTCTGGCAGTGTCGTGTTTGGCATCAATGGCATAAGGAGGGTGTGAGTGGCACACTGCGAGCCCCCACTGCGACCGGCCGCCCACCCTCCGCGACCCCTCCCGCCCCAGGCCGTTCTTCTCACTTCTCAGAAAAATGATTAACAATGAAGTTTTCGCGTGCAGGCGCTGGCGGGACGGTGAGGTGCAGGCAGCCCCGCGCAGCCCCGGAGGCCAAAGTCACGATCCGAACAAAGAGCAGACTTGCCCCTGCCCCCTACCCTGCCCTGCGCAAGGGTTGTTCCCCTTGTCCCGCGAGTGAGACTGCTCAACATGAGGGCGGGCCTGCGCGTGTGTTGGACTGTGTGTGTGTGTGTGTGTGTGGTGTGTGTGTGTGAGTGCACATGCCTCTTACTCTGTGGGCAGAAAGCCAGCTTCCAAACCGTAAACGAGGCCAGTGAGTACTTTTCGAGACTCGCCTCCCGAACGGCCAATGCTAACCGGCGGTCCAGAACGAAGTCCAGCCCAGAGCAGCAGCGCGCCGAAAAGTGCACAACTTGTAAGCGAAATCATACAGCAGCAACCAAACTTGTAAACAAAATATCACAGAAGCACCAGCACAAGTCGTAAAGAAAGAACTCTTCTTTTTTTTGAGGTTGTTTGTTTCTTTTTTTTTTTCGCGACAGTCGTGGAGCTGAAGCCCAATCAGTGCACCTGATTGACGTGCTGCATCTTGATTATAAGAAGTGTGCACCTGGTGGGCTGGTGGACAGACGGACGGACGGACAGACAGTCAGACAAACAGACGGGCAGGCAGACGGACGGACGGACGGACGGGCAGAGTAGCTCTCAGCAGGCTGGATGACACGTAGCCTCATTGTGCGAGGCAGAACACCACTCGGCGAGAGCTGCAAGGGGAGCCACTGAAGAGGCCCGAGGAAGAGGGGGAGGCATGCGTCGTCCCATACAGCCACTTAACTGCTGTTCCAGGAGGCAAAAAGCGGCATGGATCACCAGGGCTCGAGTGTAGGAACGCAGGCAGGTTCCACTGAGGTGCTCGTCGAAGGCTTGTAGTGAGGTGCGGGCGCCACAGATTTTAAGCTACCCTTTTCAGCTGGGTAGGAACAGAAACTAGACGGAAACATCATCGTTTCATAAAGCTTTGCTCCTTTAGACCCACTCGCCAGAAGTGGCTCCATCTTCCAACTCATCGGGCGAAGATGGTACTTCTTTTTGTTCAGCTGATTCTGCACGTTTCTCTTCTGCCTCAATATTGTCGATGTCTCTCGGACCTCTTTTTTCGCTTCTTCTGCTTTTTCCGATAACATAGTGTACCTGTACACGCCACCTGCAGATGGGACGCTTGGATAAGACAGCTGTTTATCCGCCTTATCTGTTTCCCCGGACATCGAACTGCCTTCTTTGGTGCCGGTCCACCCGCGTCGGTTCCCATCTCCCCCTTCCACTCCCCCCCCCTCTCCCCGGCCGGAATCCTCCGGATCTTTGCGACCTCTGGGGAAATACGTGCAATTGTCGCTCCCTGATGGTATTTACACTGCTACCCTTTTTTGCGGTGGGAATCACAACATTGGGGTGTGACCCCGGCTGTGATCCGGGCCAGCAGTCCGCTCTGCCGCCCCGGAATCAATACTCTCTCTTCCTCTTTCTCTCCTGCGGAACGAATTTTTCTCCTTTTCCCTTTTTTGTGAAATAGGGGGAAATGACCTCCTATGACTCCTCACGTTTCATACATGATAAAGTTCCCTACCTGCGAGCTAAGGTTTCTGCGCCGCCCGCAGACTTTTGGCGTTTGCAAGTCCGGGGTCCGCAGGGTAACGGTTTATACCTCCGCTCACCCTGGCGCGAGTAGTGCATTGTGCCCACCTGTCATCCCCTCATTGTTCTGGCCAGGGCGAGTTTCCGGGAGCTCGTCACCCGCAGTGTGCACCGCCAGTTTGTTGTTTGGCACTCACTTGTTGAAAGCGTACCCGTTCCTCGGCCGCAATGTGGGGCGCCTCGGCGT